TTTTTCCTCCAGCCTAACCCTTCCTTCAAAAGCAGAACGTAGTAATTTGAACATTACTGTTTGGCGGCAGGAATAGGTCACGTCGCAGTACTTCCCCGGACAAACTCTTTCACAAGTAGCTCTACTGCTACTAAGCCAGGTAATACTAGCAACTATGTATGTAAGGAGTTTTAATTGATGTTCGCCTAAATTAAACCTACCTCGTTTGTATGTTGAAGACCTATTTCTTAATTAATATTCTTGCTAATCATGTTCTTACGTAAAAACGAGTAGATATTTAACGACTTAGAAAATATACTGACTTACATTAATTAATTAATCCTATAATGATATTTTCATAGAACTCGATACAAACTCATCCATTTGGATCGACGAGCTTCTGATGATTAACATCCGTTCTGCATATGTGTGCATTTTGTCTTCAATGATTGTGAAGCTTCGGGCGTCGCAATACCAAACAGGGCTCCTTTGATGTACGACTTCAAGTTGAACTCGTTGTTTTAGCTAACCAGGGCCACTTTAAAAATAAAGAAAATAAAGCTCGCATTTATCACCTCTAGAGATGTCTCAACTAAAATTTAATTTTTAATTTTTATATTAATGTTAGACGTTATCTTTCTGACTCAGTGTTGTCGTTTAAACCATTCGTCGGCTAAATTCGTAAACTTCGTATAAAAAACAGAATTACTAGAAATAAGTACCTATACACCAATCTATGATTACACTTTTATTTTATAAGTAAAAGAAGTTGTACAAATTATCATTTCAAGCTTTAATAATAATAAAAAAAAGAAGTTCATCTAGAAACGGAGTTACGAGGTTTTCAAATTTAACCAACGCATTGTTTCTACTAAATTTCAGTAATTTTTTACTTATGACAGATAATCAGAATAAACAATGGATTTAAGGTCAACACTGTGGCGGAAAGACAGATCTTACTTAGGCTGAGATTTATGAAACGAAAGATTTCGATCAAGCAAATATGGCGACTTAAGCAAGCTTTTTAACCGACTTAAAAAGAGGAGGTTCTCTATTAGACTGTATCTTATACTATTACTCCGATATTTGTGAACCGATTTTGATGATTATTTTTGTTGCTACGAGGATACTTCAATATTGGTCCCATTTAAATTTGAAGAAAATATTCCACCTGTAAGGGTTGCAAACCAAGGGATGACATTGGTGTTCCAATGGTTTGCACTGTGGACTCCGGACGAGGAGATACCAGCTTAGATTTCCGGTAGGACGAATTTGGGAAATAATCTTCTTTAAATTGGATCAGGTCTGGATGTTCTAGGTAGTGCCCTTGAAGAAATTCCATTGCCGTGGTACTCATAGCACAGGGAATTCCACGGAAGAAAGTATTTATGTAGTCTGTGGAGAATTCCCTAGTTTCAGACCAGGCAAATGTGATTGTCTGGTACATTATTTATTTATTTAAGAAATTGCGAAGTAAATTCGGTTTCATTTAATTTCTTGCTTAAATTTAGGCAGTTTTCGTTTTATGAATACGAAAAACTTGGTCAGTAGCGAGTACTTGGCTTTATATTATTTTGTTACCAAAAATACCTTGTGATTTTTGGTTTTTGGTACGTAGTTCGCGAGCTTGCCGCGAGCCGAACGCGTGCGGCTCGCAGTGAGCCAACTTATTGAAGACTGTTGAAGACCCGGCTTTACACTTGCACCAGGCTGAAGTAAAATATGTTTTATAATTAAGATTGACATTTCATTTGTTTTTCAAACAGGAGCTCAAGTTACTAGAATTAGTGGTTTAAGTCTGATGATTTTGTCCGTTGAGTAGTTTCGTCAAGGCCTTTCTTATGTTGGTGTTGAGTAACCAAGAGCTGTCGGCCCAACTCTTGGAAACGCTCGGTTTAAGTTACGACTAAAGTAGGTACATATTACGCACTTGAAGCTACAATCATTACTTACGGAGAGTGTGCGATGGAATTACACGATTTAATTCCGCTTTCCCCTTTCCATCATCGGGGGACTAGGTGTAGGCTTGGATTCCACCTCTATGTTGTGGATATTCCAAAGATTCGCACAAAGCGTTACGCTTCCACATTTTAAATGTCGAACGGCTATGGAGGTAACAAGTCACAGAACGTTATAACTTGGACCTTTTCAGGGCAAGAGTGAATAGAAATTATTTAGGTGTACATGCTCCATCGTCAACCGCATCGTCACTTTCCATCAGGTGAGATGGAGGTCAAATGCACACTTACATTTGAATAAAAAAAGTCACCATAACAAGGATATTATAGTAAATTAAATAAATATAGCATAGTACATATTTATACATGTATGTAGGTACATTAGATGCCTACTGCAATACGCGAATATACACACGGAGTTGTCATACACAGCATTAAGCAACAGTAGATAGAGGTGAAGCGGCAGAGCTCTTGAACACCGCCATGAAGTGTCTGTTTACTTTTATAGGTATTCTATATGATATATCACGGAGCGTGCGATAGAATTGTACGATATAATTCCCCCTTTTCCTTTCCATCATCGGGGGACTAGATGTAGGCTGGGGTTCCACCACTATGTTGTAGTTTCGCTTCCACATTTGTGTGGCCAACGGCTATCCGTTCCATATAAATGTGGAAGCGAATTCCACTCCATAGGGAGTGGAATTCCCTAACTGCAGGCATATTCCCCAGACGCTATAACTTAGGCCTTTTCTAGGCGAGACTGAAAATTTTATTATTTAGATGTGCATGCTCCATCGTCGACCTCATCGTCAGTTTTCATCAGTGAGATGGATATCAAATGAGCACTTCTTATAACAAAAAAGAGATCGAAGTCGAAGTATATTTACCTAAACAAGTAATACACATAGTTACAAGTGTATAATGACAAAAAAATCAAAACCAAATAGTTATATAATTACTTAAAACTCAAACTCAAAAAAATCATCTCTATTTCATAGGTAAGTAAATTATACATGAAATCGTCGTATCAACTAAACTCTACTGCTCATTCGTAAAGGCAGATTCCCCTGAGAAGAATGAGCACGAAACTCTAGGGGTTGGTTTTTGTAAATATGCAATTGAATACATTTATCATTTACAATATTGATTTAAAACATCTTAGATCGAGAATACCTGCAAGAGCTAAACAGTCACAACCACGGATTTTTGTCATCCAAGTACCTACACAGAAACTGTAAAATAACCTTTAGTGAAAGTTTTTGTTTCACTATAGTTTTAGACCTCGTAAATGGCATATTTTGTAGTTTGTGTATATCAATCGGAATCTTATTATAGAAGCGTATACGTTGCCCATAAATTAATTTGTGACTATGAAGACGACTGTCAAGAACAGCTTATTTATTTTTATTCCTCGTATTAATGTTGTCTGTCACTATTTTTCGTAAAAAAATTACTATTCTTCTTAACGAAATACATTTATTAATAAAATGTACTGTGACGCTAGTGTAAGAATTATGAAATTAATTTCTTTAAACTTACCTCCCAAAGACAATCTTGGGCCCAGATTGTAATTATGATTGATTTTTGCGATTTAATGTTAGGAGTGGCATTGCAACTGTTATGGACAGGCGTATAGCTTACCATAGGGAGCACGACTTGCCCGTCCCGTCACTTGATATTATTAAAAAAATGCCCCAATCACGTTTCTACTTACAAACTTTTTCAAGATACATTGTACCCAATTAAAGTAATTGCTAGTTACACATCAAAAATATAAAACAAAATACTTAACAATAATTCGGGATTTCAGGTGCTAATGTATGTGTATACAATTCCTTGAAGTTTAAGGTAAAATAACTTGGTTTATTCCGATCTTTGATAATTACACTAAACCTGTATTTGTATAATTAATTATTATTCATTGTGTGCTTAAATATAATTTAAAAAATAAATAAGGAAAGGGGATTAAAACAAAAATGTTTAACATATTTTGACTATAATTCAATAAAAATGCAGATGGAAATAAGGTAAACTTACAAGAAAAATGTCATAAACAAGCTTTAGCCTTAATTTGTTTTGTCCATAAAGAGAATAGAATATGTAGTCAATTTTTTGAAAGATTAACTAATAATTGGAATTAAATAAAAAAAATTAAATACTTAATTACAACTGACATAGGTACTAGAGTTTTAAACTAATGCCTGTTATATTAAATGACTCATGATATATTACTAACATTAAGTTACATGTAATCGTAGTACTTTAAATGTTTGTTTAAATACAAAAGAAATTAAATAAATCAGTTTTAATGGTTCATAATTCGTAATGAACTGACAATAAATAATATTCGCGTACTTTATGACAACGCTTAAAACTAAAACTTAAATTAGGTACAAAATTATTATCTGTGGTCACCATGCAACGACTTGCTAATTAATTACAAAGTGGAGAAAGCCTGAAACTAGAAAACAAAAAAAATATAAAAAACAAAAACGTTAAACCTTCTCGGCTGTGCTAGCACTGATCATAAATTAAACAAAACCACGAATGATCGAAACGTTATTTTATTATTGATGTACAAAATTGCAAAGTTGCTATTTTAAGTAAGGAAGTGTAACAAAATATTATAATTTACAATTATGTTGGCGTGAGGATACAGTCTCTTGGTAAGAATCGAAAGCGTATCTGGCTGGTTCTATCAGAATTTCTCCTAATCACTTACATTGGTCCCTTAATTAAAACTCTATACTTTTTTATTTTTATATAAATATAAAATATCACACTTTAAATTCAAAGAAAAAACTATGCTACTTCGAAACTAATCACTTAGTTCTGTCAAGTACAAAAGTAATAACTGTGCCAATTTGAATACTATATTCAAAAGGAGACAATAAATAAACAATCCATCTATCTCGATAAACTAAAAATTAAATATTATAATCGATTTGTAATAAAGTAAAAGGCACTCTTCAAGAGGAGCGGCCGCGGCGCTGGAAGCGCGCGAGGGTGATGCGCCGCAGCCGCGCCGCCGGCACCGGCCGGCTCTGGTAATCTTCATAACTATTAAGATACGAGTAGTATGCAGCAGTTTCAAGACTTCGGCAGGCTTCATGTTATTTTTTGCAAGACGCGCGGACCGGCGCGCAATCGAGCGGAGCGCTGAGGCGGGACGGACTATAAGAGTGCGTCGCGAGGACGAAAAAAAGAATCACCAAAACTCGAAACAGGTTTTCGCTCGCTGCCCACTCTCCCCACACGATGTAAAAGGAAAAAAACCCTGTCTCGACGCTCCGATGGAAGTGGCGCGCTGCAGGATCGGACCGATAGTTCTCAAATGGGCCGCGGGTGATCAAGATCGCTGGATGGCGGTGTAACGTACCATTACTGCATGAGTTCGCTCCCTCAAAATCGAACTTTCGGTTTAGATCACTTTAGAATATTTAAACAAAAATTAAATTTTGATCAAACTACCGAACTCCTGAGACGTATGTCAACTGACTTCCTTAGATTCATTAAAGTATAAAATATATGATATTACAAAGTGGTCAAGAGCGGTATCAGTTGAATTGAGATTGTAGTAACGAGCCACGTCCCGTCAACGAGGGCCCCGTCCGAATGCGGTGCGGCATCGTAGCGGATAGCTACAATACAAAATAATAATTACAGTTAAAGAGACTCGAAATAAATAATAAATTACTATCTTAATCCTTAAAAATAGATCACGAGCGCCTTCTCGCGGTACGGTACCGAGCGCGGATAGGCAGTACAAAATAAATAATGTTCTATAGCTAACTTTACAGAGACCACCGCTCGGCGGAGGATATCGCATCGGGAAGACTTCCGCGAGCTACGCAATAAATATCTAACAATAATATAAGGTGCCATTTACAGGTGCGTGCCGATAATAACTAAAAGATGAACATAACCACTAAATCACACCGCAAACTTTCGAGACGCCAGTAACACTTCGTAGTTAAGTTTACAAGACGAAGTAGCAGGAGCATCGAAAAACTGGAGATCATTCGTTGAGCGGGTGCGGTGCGCGGGGCGCGGGGCGCGGCGCGGCTGGAAGACGTCGAGAGGCACTACGGTGACGGACGATCCTTACGCTAGGGCGGTATAAGTTAACTTAGGACTAGGCGGTCGCGTAGCCCTAGGCGATCACGAGGTCGCCGAAGGCGGAAGAGATACGACTGAACAATGGACGCCGCTCATCCTCAGGATCTGGGGAGTTCGTACGGCGAAAAGCGAATGCCGTTTGCGCCGGCGGCGACAGTGCCGGCGGCGAGTGCGGCGCCAGCGGAGATTGCGGAGTCAACGGCGAGTGCGGCGAGCGCGGCGACCGGGTCCCATCGCTCATGTACGAAGCCAGTGATCCGCCTGATGACAGCGAGGCTAGTGAGCCGCCCGGAGACGGAGGTTCGCGCCGGCGCGCCTCCTCGGCGTTGTGCACAAAGTGGCAGCGGGGGCCGTACGGGCAGAATCCGACCGAGTGGAAGGTGCGACACAGCTCGGTCTTGTATTTGGGGTGGCGCTGAAGGTTCCTTAGTTCACGGAATCCGTGAGCGAACTGACACTTGTCTCCATACTTGCAAGTACCAGCTTCTTCGAAAGGTCTGCAAAGTTCGGTTTTGTAGCGGCTGGTGGCAGGCGGCGGTGGCGCTGGTTCGCTGGTGGTGCGCTCAAGGCGCCGATGATTCAGACGGTCAAGTATACCGGCCAGTGTGTGCCGGTGCGCCGGAACTGAGGCGGCTCTGGCCAGTGCCGGGTGTTCCCATCCGACGCCAGCTCCTGCTGTGCCACCAGCGCCTACTGTGTTCAGTGCACTGCCCACTGGACCCATAACGCCGTTCATCGTCTGCGGTCGAGTTTGATTCTGGAATAAGAAGAAAATAACGATTAAAATTGTAACGATTACATAATAATAATGAACGTTAACAAACTGAATGGCGGCGTGTGTCGAAGCAACTTGTTGCTTCTACAATTGAACAATTGTTCTCAAATTTTGACTTTTATATTACGAAAATAGTACGCGATTACTTTTTCTTTAGATTTACTGAAAAAAAACCAAATTTAAAGTTTTGTGTCCAAACGTTCACAAAAGAATTTATTGTTGAGCTTGAGAACTTTCCTACATTTTGTCACGTAAAAAAACGTCACTATCTGGGTTCGGTGGGTCGGGTACCTGCCAAAGTAAACAAAAAAAATGGGTCGGGAGGCTGGTTTCGTCGTCTACCTGCCCGAAGCCCGAAATGCATCTCGTTTTCACTAATGGTCTTCACGTTAAAATGTTTAATATTTCCAATTAACCAAGGTTTAAAGTGGTGCTTATAAAAGCCCCGGGGTGAGTCGAATTTTAATGGTAATGTATTACGACCATTTCTTCCCACCGCTATTCTAACATGAATTATTTATTTTGGGTAACGGATTGTAACAACACACGAGTCTTTCTCTGTTCTGGTGGTTCGCATACGGAGATGCAAATGGCTGAAAAATCTTTTGTTTTAACGGAACGTTGAACTTAGACTGGCGCTACTCGACATCACCATAACAATGCTTGTGTTCACTCGAGAGGCAGTTGACACTAGACGGCGATGGTTACAATCGCGGTGATTGTACGCTATTGTTTAGTAAGCGTGTCTGCCGGCCGCATCAAGAATAATACTGTCGCCAAGCGCGAGCTAGTCGATGATCTTCTTACTACGATGCGATATCTTTGACAAAGGGCAACGATTACGTCTCACATAGAATTAACTCGTATTAGGTACCTCCTTCACAGTTCATTAACAAATTGACACTGAAGACTTCATTTCTGACATCTCATTATTTAAATCTTTATTTTTTACATAAAGTCGAAAGCATACCTATTATATATAATAGGTATGCTTTCGATACACACACACACACACACACACACACACACACACACACACACACACACACACACACACACATATGTGTGTGTGTGTGTGTGTGTGTGATATGTGTGTGTGTGTATACACACACCACCATATATATATATGCATACACACACACACACACACACACACACACACACAAAACAAACACACATATATAGTCAAGACAATATTGGTCAACCCACGCACTGTTACAAGAGAACGGAATGGTCCAAGTAAGGCACAGTAGTACTTTGCCGGTGCTGACATCGAGTAGCCGAGAAGGTCGGATCGGAACACAGGCTCGATACATAATGCATGTGATACGCCGCATCTTCTATGCGGCCTCAATCGATGTGAATGACATGTCATTGTATATTCTGTTCGCCTCCGCCTCGTCCGTGGATCGTAACATGCAAACACTTGTGTTTTGAAACACAACGGACAAATTATTATACTGCCTATTTATAAAGCTGTTGTACACTATAAGTGTTTCGAACAGTCCCATATCTTTCTACATAAGTTTTGTTTATAGTATCCCTCCCTATCAACCTCTTGGTTATGCGGGAAGGGCACAATGATGTGTGCGAGCGAACCCGCACAGGGACCATCTAAGTCAGCTCCTAACCCCGGATCAACCCGTTTGCACGGACTTCATCCGGTTCTCTGTAAGTCCAGTGGCTTCGTTAGTCGCCCCGGGTGCACGTACAGCACTCTCCCTATTTTCTAGATAGGTTCGGGAGCTGTAGGCACGCTCACTTGCCGTCGCTCTCCGCATGACTAACAGTTGCCACCGCTGAGCCGCCGACTCTAAGTCGACTACCAAATCTCCTCATTAGTGGCGGAGCTGTAAAGCACGCTCACTTCTCGACGCTCTTCATCTTCCAAAATCATTCATCTTCAAACAGTTACAATAATTTTAAAAATGAACATTTTATCTGGAATCATAAAGAAATCTGCAATGAGAATTTATATTGTAAGGGATTTATACAGCCCACGCAGTGTCAAAGAGTCTGCCGTTTACTTGACCTTCAATACAATTTTATGCCTTATTATTTATGTGCACCTACATAATTAAGTTTAACAAGTATAGCACGTGGAAGAAAAATACATGTTGTGCCGACCCCACCTAGCGTGGGATAAGGACAGGAAGAAGAAGAAGAAGTACAGCACGTGTGATATTGGGAATAAATATATATATAAATAATATACACACACAAGGTCTATGTTATTAGCGGTGTCGCTTCAGATAGTTCTCCCCACTATTGCAGTTAAAAGGACAAGTTCAGAATAAACATAGTATAACAAATTATAACGGAAAGTTGCCGATGTCCTATGCCAAAAACGTAGGAAAGTCGTTGGAAATTTATAGTGCATAATATATTTCTGTCTAATGAAACAAAAGGGCGTTGTAGCCACGTCAAAGGCGAAAGTGTAGCAAACAAACGAGCGTGCAGCCGTGCAGTGCGATCGCGGGTGAAATGTTGCAGTGAAAAGCGCAGGGGTTAACTTAGTAGCCGCCAAGTGTCGATGAAAAACGATGGCCGATGCGTAATTAGAGAGTTATCAGAGCGGAACATTGGTTAACGCTGCTTTCCATCGGACGTTGCGCCCGCGCAACTCAGCTCCAGGGAAAATTGTAATCACTGTCGATTTCAAACACCTCGGTCGTTGCATTCGAAACCAAGGGCAATCATACGCGAGCAATCACAGACCCGTGATTGGACGACCCTCTTGTATAATAAATAACATATGTTTATCTCGACTGCTCGCACTTTACGGCGCAGCAGACTAATTTGTAAACGGTCTGGCAAGACTTTATTCGGTAAATATTATTTTGGTTGACGGCAATGGTGTTAGCTGTATTACCAAAGAGGTGGACACAAGTCACGTCATGCCTGCTTGTATGCTGTATTGTTTAGGACGCGACTCGTGGTGTTGTCAACCAACACCGTGCGCTCGAACTCAAGCCTTGTTTGTTTTCTTCATTACTACACAAGTACAGATACATATCTGTACTTGTGTAGTAATGTGTAAGTGTGTAGCTTCTGTATCTACATAGGTAATATGGTAAAGTAGCTCTTTATCAATTTTCCGACCATGTTGTTCTATGAACTTGGCTTTGCACAATAATGTATTTGAAAAGTCTCGAAAATGAATTCATTCATTTATCATCCGGAATCATAAATTTTTCATTGACATTAAAAATGCGAATCGTCAAATACGAATATAGAATCGAAAATCGTAGAAAAATGTAATGGTTACAAGCATGGCATTAATGGTGTGACACAAGCTTGTTACTATTCGAGATCGTTTAACAATTGTCTTTAACTATTAATACCTCATATCACCTCATATCGAAAAATGAATTTCCGATTTGTTTGCAACATGTCAGTTCATTGAAGCAATAAAAATATTAGACTCAAATAAAAACCTTCAATATCTGTATAACACGTACCATTCACATAAGTGTACCGCGTTTGTTGTGGATGTGATCATCTACCTGAGAATAGATGTTACCAAAAACCACATTATGACTGTTGCGATTACGTTCAAAGTGAGCCGTTGGGGGCAACGACTTCACCTGTAAACCAATACACACATCACGTGCCACCTATAGACGCGAATCCCGATTCTATGCACCGTAGAATTTTAGGCTTTAAAATTCCATTTTATTCATTTTACATACCAGCAGACCGTACATGTAGAAAAACCAAATAAATAAAACGTAAATGTTCAAAATATTTTATGACAAAAAGTATGACCTTTTAATATTGAAACATTCTCAATGTAGAGAGTGTTTACGCTCGTAACGAGCGAGAATTTACACCTTTAGCGATTGTTTGTTTTTATTCGCAGCCGAGGTCTTGCTAAAAATATACAGTTTTCCGTCAGTTTTTCTGAGGGCAACGGCACCAAACATTGGTAACAAAGAACGTGCATTTAGGTTATGAATTTCAGCAACACGGCATTGCGAATGAACTGAAGAGTTCGAGTTTAACAATTCAAATGAACGTATGCGTCACAAAGAAAAGATATAGCTACGTGAACACACTACAACTTTTACGATTATTAATAAAGTAGTGTGCCAACTTCTATCTTAATATATATCCCAAATTTTATCATAATGTATTCGTGCTTCAATAATGTATGATTATGAGTATCGCTAGGTCTTAAAGAAAACTGCCAGTCATTAAGGCGGCTCGCAACAATTGAGGCAGTGACGTGAGTGAAACAAGAGATCTGTTTAATTGACTGTTAATTGGTTCTAATCAAATGCGTTCTATATTTAAATGAACTTTTAACGATTTAAACGCTTCGGTCACAGTCTCTATCAGTCCAATGAACAATAATTAAAAATATCGCCCCGAGAAAGCCAACTACTTAAATAATAATGAACAAAAACCAAGAATAGCTTTGCAAAAAGCAAACAATAAACTTTCGTGTTTTGTCTTTTTTACTTTAGTTAGGGTTGGCTCGTAGATACGTATAAGTACTTTGAAAACGGATCCATTTCTCTAAGAAGCGAAGCGAGGGTCTTGTCGATTGCGACCATCACGTTTATTGAATGATTGCGCGAAAATAACCAGTGTCGAGTCCTGGCCCCTTCGACGGCGTCGTGTGGACACCTCCCATAACGTCCAGATAGTTATCAACCGTTCATTCGTATATCTTTTCATGTACCATGTTACGTTCACTTGACTTCTGGGACTAAATTTATACAAAAAGAAACAAGAATTTATTCTCGAATTATAATAAACTCTTCCTTGTAATAAAGTCGCATAATACGGAATCATAAACAAAGGTCTGATTCACGTTCGATACGGTGCGCAGCGTATTTGCAATATAGAGATCGTTGTTATCGTCGCCGTTATGGATGGCATGACGCATAATAAATATGGAACTTACATAAACTATCAAACCGTGGTTACATGTGGTATTGTATAGAGCAGTGACAATAATTATAGCGTGCAATGCTCTCCCGCGCAGATAGTAGAAACAGCGCATATGTATGTAATGAACGAGTCTAATAGAGTTGCGGGGGAGTTATCAAGATTACAGACATGCACATTTGTATATTGTTGCTTGTTACACAATATGTTTAGGATGTTTACTCATTTCGTACTAGGGTATTACGTGATATATTTTGAATTTTTGCAAACGCTTAGAACTAAGTTAAAAAGTATGATTATGTTTATATGTAATCTAAATTTATATGGTCGTGGTCACAGCAATAAATATATGTAACTTCATATTTATTGTAAAATTATTTATGAAGCAAGTAGGAATGTACATTTAGTTAACCGTTCCCATGCAATTCTGTATTTCACTCAGAATAATAAGTATGGAGTAACTACGAATAATAGTTTAATTTATAGCTGATTCAAAGGCTTACGAACGAGGTGCGGGTTGCTTAAAAGAGTTAAGTAAAGCTGACGTGTTCACATCAAAATAAATATAGTGATGATTGTGAAATATTAGGCGCTGCGTTAAGTATTTGATAAAAATGCAAAGTAGGCAATGGTTGTGTATGTGAGGTATATGGTAAATAATGTTACAGCTAGCGACTGTTAGATGAGTAAGACCGGACGCGCGGCGTTCGGCTCGCATGCAGATGGGCCATACGGCGTGATTGCAATGCGAGAACGATCCGGCTATGGTATAAATGCCATCACATGTCGCCTGTTCGTCTTTATTTATAATTTGAACACCTACCAAACGATTGTCTTCTGGTTACATTGGATGAAACAATAGTAATGTATTTGAAGACTAAGTAAATCATTAACATAACGATAAGGAAATCACGTAGTCCAAGAGGACGGTTTCGAGAATTGCGAAGCCGTATTCTCATTTTCCAACTGATTGCGTGCGCCTGATCGTGAACGAATAGTTATTTACACAAGTTCATTGACACAAGACTCGACCGTCGAGATTATTATTAAAACGTCCAGCTATCATGTGATATACTGTGACGAAATAAGAAACATAAACCAAAAACCAATAAAGACGGAAGAGATCAAATGTGGTCCCCTCACAGTTCACACTTCGTCTTATGATCTAAGAATTACTTTTCTAGTGAGCTATGTACGACGGAACTGCTTCAAGGCGAATGTCAACAAAGGGCTTCATTCGAGTCGAGCGTGTTTACCCCTCGGCCGTTCAAAGCAGAGGAAGCACGTCCCCGACCGGGCCGCTTTTAGCACCTTCTTATTTATAGATGTAACAGCACAACGCAGCCCTTCACGCTGATTTGCAGAACCGAAAATGTAAACAATCTTTCCAACTACGGTTGTAGAAACACCTTCAATGGCTCGTTATTTCTTATATCTGGGAATCTTTTCGCTTTACGGCGTCCGATTACGTTGTGTCGTTAAAAACGTATACCACGTGTATCTAAATGTAGTTATGGTCATGACAAGGTATCAGTGCGTCTGTCGTGTCGGTCATTAGCGACATAAACTAGGCCCTTACGTCAGCCGTGTGACGGTTTGCAACAATTCCTTTGTCAGTGCAATTTTTATTGTTGCGTCACGCTGCCGGGTTACACTTTCCCCGCAAATTGTACTATATGAGTCATTCATAAAGGTTGATAAAGTAGAAAAATCGTTTTCTGTGACTAAGGTATTAATTCTATTGTTAGATTTTAACACAAAAGGCATACTACTCGCCATGAATGCTCTCTTAGAAAGTTGTCAATGACATTCAAATACAAATTGGTCTATTTCAAAAGACATAATTAGCGTCAGTATGTGGACAGTGGTCACTGTTTGGTAGTCTTATCTAACGGGAGACTATTAGTGATGTACTCGTTAATCATGACGCGAACAACGACCACACTTACTTTCAAGTTAGTAAGTGACTGTTTGTTTAGAGCATTGATATCGCAGGGTCAGTGTCAATGGCTGAAACCACGTGCGTACTCAATATATATCCTGAGTGCTAGTCCATTTGGCGAATGATTCTATCCATACATTTACAGCTTAATTTAACAGTCCTCTGTTATCAACCTATCTAATTAATTAAATAAGTACTAATCGCAAATGGTTTCAATTGCACTACTCTCTGGATTACGTACTTGTGTGCCTGGCTATCATGTCACAGCCTCGTGCAACTTCATCAAGTGGCAAGGCTTTAATATGTTAGGTTAATATTGAACGGTAGTGACACAAGTTGACTTTCAACTTACATAGCTTGCCACTCCATCATCAACCAGATATTGCGGGCTCACCTGTGAACAAAGAAATTGCATAGTTAATAAAAGATTATTTCAAGTTTATAAAGAATAAGACAAACGAGTTATTTAATAGTCAACTTTATATGGTTTCTTCCGATCGCAGTAGGTTCCTAACTTGAGTCAATAACTAGCAATAGGTACACCCGACCGGTCTCTATTGAAAGCGATAGCACTTCCTACAAGAAAGTAAAACCATGCTCCGCTACTCAGCAGACCACCGCCGGTCGGCATACGGAAAGCTGGCAAGTTGGAGCTTTATAAATTGGAAACTTCTATGTTTCTTAGAACATGTAAAATATTTACTAATAGTGGATAGAACGCAAAAGTTACCACTGTAAACATCCATTTACATCCATGCTAGCATGTCTACGCTAATAAGTTTTATTTTGAAGTATTATGCACGAATAAGTACGTAAGTAAGTTATGAAACAATTCATTATGACACAAATTATGTTCATTTATAATATCAACATGAGTAATTAAACATTATGAAATTAACCAAGTTCAAAAATTACAAATGTGCAACTATTGTGCACATCACGTGAACAAAGACAAGATGTACAAATGGTGATCTAGATCAACCATCAACTGGAGGAATCAAATGTTCTACTGATCAGTCTGATCACAGACGCACGTAGAACGAATGAATATTCCAAATACGATGATGATGTGGGCGCGATCTATGTATTCGGGTATTGCGTTGCGCTGTGGCCTTCGCGCGAAGCGATACGCGCGATAATGCCCACATTTTCCGCTCCTCGTTAGCTACAAGCACACTGCGTCCACTCCAAACAATCAGGTGCGGCTTGCACGTGAAAATTACAGACAATATGGGCATATTACGCCACCGGCTTTAAACGTGCGGTGTCACGACCCGCCTCCGTAATAAGAGACATTGTTTCTAACGCAACCGGGGATCTCTAATTGAACCCGGCAGCGCGCGAAGGTCTCTAGCAGATCACGAACTTTACGCCACACTTGCCCAGCAAAAAACGACCCGCCACTTGAGGCGGCTCGCAAAGCAAGCGATAAAAACACGGAAAGTAGTAAAAGTATTATCATACAAACAAAAACGTATCTCAACACAATTCATTATGAGGATTAGAATGAAATTTACCAAGCGAATTTACACGTTCCATGGTTTTATATTCAAATGGAAGTTTATAGCTATTTCTAGACAAAAAAACATGTGGTTATATAAATAAACTACAAATTAATTCAGTGACCAAATATGTTTTGTATTCTACGTATGTAGACGGTATAGCGTTGAGGCGAGCGCGGGTACTTCGGGTTAGCGACGATTGTCGTTCCCGATCAACGAAGCAATCGGGGCCACTTGTGCTAATTAAACACTTCAATTGAATTGGGGACATTTATTCAGCAGCCTTACAGCGACACTCGTTGTTTACATTGCTAACAAATAAAAACATTTCATGCAGGCTTTTCGACAACTACGCAATTGCAGAATTGAACAAACTATTATAACCATTGGTTATAAAAAGTCGATTTTTGCTTATTGCGTAAATTGTTTGTAAATAATTATTATCAAGAAAAGCCGTAAACTTCGCTTTTACAATAAGTGGTATTTCATTTTTAATACTTGCGACATTTATGAAGTAGTAATAGTATGTTGCCGTAACTGTTAGTTTCTCGTTACAAATTAATTGCTGTACCTACTCAGTGACCAAATATGTATAATGTTATCAAACAAATAAAGTTTCCTATTGTAAATCATAAAAGGCAGTCTCGCCGGTATTATTATAGTTCTGTATCAGTATCTACTCTCAACTTAAATATGAGGTCAATAGATATGAAGACAGGGAACACTTTAAACGAGGTCATAGCAACAAAAACGTGTTAGATTTAATTATAATACGTATTATGTACTGTGTGTAACGAGGTCATAAATCATAATAGTTAAATTATTTTTGGCTCGTCATTCATTTTGTTGTTGTTTTAGATTTGATTGTGGTTATCACGTGTTAAATCCAGGGGACGTACTCTCGAAGCACGAAACTTATGGAACTAGGGGTCTACTCTCGTACTCCGTCCGACGTCCGTCCGAAAAAATCACTGTCAAATAAGAAATATTCGACCAAATTAAAAGACGCATGATGCGAGTGAAGCTTCATACTTGACGTTGTCTTTTAATTTGGTCGAATATTACTTATTTGATAGTTATTTTTTCGGACGGATGTCGGACGGAGAATGAGAGTAGACCCCTTGCTCTCAAAGGTCATCAACGAAAAGACGCGCCCGTCTGAAACTGTCGAACTGTAAAACATACATTCTTAGTTCTGGGCCCGATGGAAACTCAAGCCTGTAGGTCATTCATAGCGGGAAAACGGCCGTAACTACGGATTACGTGTTTCGAGAGTGGGGACCCCAGATGTGTATAAAATATTTCCATCGTAATGAAGTGCAAATTAATTTCCGACAGGCAAATGACGAATCGATAATTATAATGACGTTGTAAATTGAGAATAATGCTGCGGTTTGGTGAAGCTATTGCCTGTTCGATAACTGTTGAGTGCAGTGATTACTACAGTCGTTACCCGAAAACTGAAGTTATAGAACGGTACAGATGAACCTAACCAAATAAGTTCTAGAAATAAGATAATTAATACTATTGCTTAATATAACCTATATTTAATTGTCCAATCACAACAACAATGCAACATGCCTTCTCGATTCAAAATGCTTTACTATTTATTATTAGTCGTTTTCCATATTCATGTTGAATTATAACTCTCTAAAAGCTAGATTATAATTATTAGGTACTGTACAGATTGCCGTGGTCCTCTAATATTCACTATTTTAAATAACCGCATTTTATTAAATGATGATGTTGTTTAATGTAAAGGTCGTATAGATAATTTTATGTCAAGGTAAATAAAAAGATATATGAACCATAACCAACGGCAACGAAAATTTTATATAATTAAAGTTTCTCAACTTTTTCTTAAAAATGTTAACTACTAAAAGCTACTGCGAAGGTATTTATTGAAATTCCAGTAGACCGAATCGCCGACGATAACTTATATAAAATGAATTCGATAACTATCCCAGTTATAAATAAAGTCAAGATCAGCATTAGGCGATTAAAGAACCACATCGGTGAACAATCGGAAGCGGACAGCACGAGGGCAACCTTCATCCTAAGTCCTAGTAAATAACTAAACACAAACACATTAGACCAATATCAACGAATTTAAAGAACTTAGTACAATGTGTGAAAGTAGTAAAAGAAGTGCGTAAGTAGGTCCATATCCTAAACACTTCGTGTACCTAGCCTCAGCATTACTAGTAGGTTTTAAGTTTACCAAACAAATAACGTGGTCGTGGAAATTATGGAAACAAATAAACTTAATACATTTCTAGGGCTCACATTGTGTAAAAGTCATGAAGCCAAAAGTATTGCAATAGTTGTAATAGAATACGACTGTTAAAAATGAAAACAAAACTGGAACAACTTATTTGCCTTCTTCGATCAAATTGACGCATCTTGAAATGCCCGTGTCGACCTTGAAGCTACAAAGAGAGTTTGCCGGCCAATTATTAATTAATTATTTATAACGTAACTCGTTTGGCGAGTCCGTGTCTCGCGTGTTGATTTCCCACTCAAAATGCGATCTACAACGATCGATAATATTGATTGGCTATTTTAAAAGATCTGATTTAGGGTGTTTCGCCAATCGCAAGTAATTGATGTTGAGGGATTCTAATTTGATAGTTCGATGATGGATTTTGTAACGCGGTCATGGATAATACTGCGGAACTAAAAGAAGTAGAATCACCAAAAAATTGGATGACTTAAGATTCGAACTCGAGACTTTCAGCATTCATACTTTGGACAAAGAGAACGCTAGACCACAGCGTACCTTTCTTTGTATGTATGCGTAACTAGGTTTTGAGCGGAAAATAAATATTTTTGTCTAATTGAAAGAACGTAAAAGTACGTTATAAATTATGTGAGTTTTAGATGTATATTATGAATTCTTCCAATCGCATATACTATAAAATTGTAAGTTATAGCTGCAAATTTCGCAAAAATCATTAAAAAATCTATTATTTCGCATTATAACGCCATCTAATTGTTAAAACGTGAACCTTAAATAAATGTGCAGGAGCACAAAGAGGAAATTATTCGAGATTAAAGCAGCAAGCACCATTTTTCCAAAAGCAGAAGCTACGCACATAAACTTCTTACCCATTATCATTGTTAGTACAATAAAACTTCATTGTTTTGAAATTCATACGAGTGCACACTACACCTTTCATTTGCGGGTCAAGCAGGCAATGAATGAATATTGTTACTTGTGTCACTCATTGTCTGTATTTCGTAGTAAACAAAGTGAAGTGCGATTGATGGGGCATTGCGTGAGCATCAGTATGTATGTGCGTCGTGTGTTGATGAGTGTTTGTTATGGAGACATTAACTGGTGCGGATTTACGGCAAGCGGTTGCACGGGCGTGATGCACGCGAATGCAGGCGCTTACGTAGTGTTGCAATCACGCGTTGTGAGTGTCACGCGACAAGCCTCATGTATCGCAATCGTCAGTAGGTCAAATCTAAACTTAAATCCCACATTGCTGTGCTCCCTAAACCTACTAAGAGTGAGCAAATAGAGCCATTTCCGGTCCTCAAAGTCGTAGTTTCATTTAACAACCATTTTGACGTAATTCACTAATTCGTTACAATTAGCAATTGTCGAAAGTTGTTAAAGTTACATATCTAAAGTACATTAATTTAATCGAAACGCTTTCTTGCCATTAAACAGCCTTATGAAACGGCGCCGTTTACGCAACGCTAACCACGATTAGGCGGGAAAGGGCTCGCCGATTGCCGACCTTTGGAATCCCAGCTTTCGAACCATATATCGTAAGTATGCGGAAAGCATTGTGATTATTGTACGATTTATTTATAGCTGTTCTGAGGCTAGTTTTTGATGACATGATCACAGTGAATTCCGGAAACTCGGTAGTGAAGGTCG